GGCAGTTACAACTAGGAGTGGAAGAGGTGTGCAATACCGGCCTCAAATGAAAATCAAGTGGTGAATGATGATATTTAGCTTCAAGAAGATGTGGATCCTTTGATTGTTGAAGATGTGGTTGAGACAAATATGAACAAGGAAGTGAGAATAGATATTGATGAGGCCGAGGTGGAAACTAAAGAGGCCGTGAACCCGTCTAGGGAACACATAATTGATATTCCGGAGCCGGTGGTGCCAAAAGCCAAGGCACCCTTGCCTAGACCACCTCCACCTTATCCTCAGCGGTTAGCAAAGCAGAAAAGTGACAATCAGTTCAAGAAGTTCATAGATATGATGAAAAGCCTTACAATCAATGTGCCTTTGGTGGAGGCACTCGAACAAATGTCGGGCTACGCAAAGTTCATGAAGGATTTAGTCACCAAGAAGCGTTCTATGGATTGTGAAACAATAAAGATGACGCACCAAGTTAGTGCGATTGTGCATTTTATGGCCCCGAAACTTAAAGACCCTGGAGCTTTTACTATTCCTTGCACTATCGGGAGTGCGGAGTTTGCAAAGGCCCTATGTGATTTGGGGGCTAGCATTAATTTGATGCCGTATTCAGTCTTCAAGACTTTGGGAATTGGGCAACCTAGGCCAACCTCGATGAGACTTCAAATGGCGGACCGGTCGATGAAGCGGCCTATGGGTATAATTGACGATGTGCTTGTCCGGGTGGACAAATTCATATTGCCGGCCGACTTTGTCATATTGGATTGTGAAGTGGATTTTGAAGTGCCTATCATTCTTGGAAGACCTTTCCTAGCTACGGGGAAGGCCTTGGTTGATGTTGAAGCAGGTGAATTGACATTTCGAGTGGGTGATGAAAAGGTGGTATTTCATGTTTGCAAATCAACGAGGCAACCCAATGGCACGGAAGTATGTTCACTTGTAGACATTGTCACATCTGTGATAGTGGATGACACAAGTTCCATGATGAATGTTGAAGACCCCCTTGAGTCCGTACTTCTTGGCATGGATGTGGAAGATGATGCTAGCAGAGTAGAGTGCGTGAATGCATTGCATGGTATGGGTTCATATTCATATGAGCCTAGGAAGTTATCTTTGGATCTTGAAAACCGCAAAACTCCACCAACTAAACCATCCATTGAGGAGCCACCGGTGTTGGAGTTGAAGCCACTTCCTCCACACCTCAGGTAAGAATTTTTGGGCTCTAATTCTACTCTTCCAGTTATTCTTTCTTCTTGCCTTACTAACTTGCAGGTTGAGGCCACTTTGGAGGTGCTTCAAAAGCAGAAAAGGGCAATAGGATGGACTTTGGCTGACATTAGGGGAATAAGCCCCGCATTTTGCATGCATAAGATCATCTTGGAGGAGGATGCAAAGCCGTCCCTTGAACATTAAAGAAGACTCAATGAGGCGATGCAAGAAGTGGTAAAGAAAGAGGTTATCAAGTGGCTTGACACCGGTGTGGTCTATCCAATCTCTGACAGTTCGTGGACTTCTCCAGTCCAATGTGTGCCAAAGAAAGGAGGGATGACGGTGGTGCCAAATGACAACAATGAGATTATTCCCACTCGAACCATTACCGGGTGGAGAGTTTGCATGGACTACCGGAAGCTCAACAAGGTGACCCGCAAGGATCATTTCCCTTGCCATTCCTCGACCAAATGCTTGATCGTCTTGTGGGGAGAGCATTCTATTGTTTCTTGGATGGGTACTCGGGCTACAATCAAATTTTAATTGCCCCGGAGGACCAAGAGAAGACTACTTTTACATGCCCCTATGGAATATTTGCTTTCTCCCGGATGCCATTCGGATTGTGCAATGCTCCGGCGACCTTCCAACGATGCATGATGGCTATTTTCACCGATATGGTGGAGGACATATTGGAGGTCTTTATGGATGACTTTAGTGTGGTTGGTGACTCTTTTGATGCATGTTTGGTGAACTTGGATAGAGTCTTGGCTCGTTGTGAAGAAACTAACCTAGTTCTCAATTGGGAGAAATGCCATTTTATGGTGGAAGAAGGTATAGTGTTGGGCCACAAGATTTCAAAACATGGGATTGAGGTTGATAAGGAAAAAATCGAGGTGATTTCAAGACTCCCTCCCCCTACTTCTGTCAAAGGGGTGAGGAGTTTTCTTGGTCATGCCGGGTTCTACCGGCGGTTTATCAAAGACTTCTCGAGGGTTGTGAATCCATTGTGCAAGCTACTAGAGAAAGATACCAAGTTCGTTTTTGATGAAAAATGCATGGAGGCTTTTGAGCTCTTAAAACACAAGTTGACCACTACCCCTATTATAACCGCGCCTAATTGGAGTTTGCCCTTTGAATTGATGTATGATGCTAGTGATGTTGCAGTGGGGGCGGTGTTGGGTCAACGGGTTAACAAAATGTTCCATCCCGTGTATTATGCAAGTAAGACTATGAATGAGGCTCAACGGAATTACACAGTGACGGAGAAGGAGCTATTGGCCATTGTATTTGCCATGGAGAAATTTCGGCCCTATCTTATGGGGGCCAAGGTGATTGTGCACACGGATCATGCAGCCCTTAGATATTTAATGACCAAAAAGGATTCCAAAGCAAGGTTGATGAGATGGGTGTTACTTATTCAAGAATTTGACTTAGAAATCATGGATCGAAAGGGAAGTGAAAACCAAGTTACGGACCATTTGTCCCGATTAGAGGAAGAAGGGAGGCCACGTGACGGTCTCGAGATAAATGATGCATTCCCCGACGAGCAACTTCTTTCTGTGNAAAGATCCTAGTGCGGACCACACAAAAGTGCACGCGGCCGCACTAGGAGAATTAGAGAAGTGCTAATTCAGGACTCTCACAACGCGGCCGCGGTTGGATTTACGCGGCCCGCGTTCAGCTAACGCTGCCGCACCACATTTTCACACGGTCCGCATGAAGAGATTCAGAGAGATGAAATTTGGGGACCAAAGCAAGCCACGCGGCCGCGATCACTTTCACGCGGTCCGCGCCAGATCTCATGCGGCCGCGCTACACTTTTGCGCGGCCCGCTATCCTCAACTTCAGAGAGCCAATTTTCAAGATTTCAAGAGCCCACGCGGCCGCGCTACCTTTTTGCGCGGCCCGCGCTGACCCCGCAGGGGTATTTTTGTCCAAGTTTTTCAGCCACTATAAATAGATCCTTTTTCCATTTTTAGGTTAAGTTTTATATATACCTAAGGCTGCTGAGCTCGTGAGAACATTGGGTTTAGCCATTTTTGGCGTTTTTAACCTCTAATTTTGTATTTCTTCCTCAGTAATCAATTATTATATTTGCTTCTTCATCTATTTCTTTAATGTTTGCATCTAGCATGAGTAGCTAAACTCACTAGCTAGGGTTGTGGCTCAACCCTAGTGTGTGTAATTAATGGGTGTTGCAATCTAAGGCTAGATTGATATTGGGTGTTTGCTATTTGGGTTAATTTTAGGTTTTCATTAAGGATTGGTGGTTGCAAACACTGATTCAAGCTTGGTGGGTTTGACTCTTCTTGAGAAAGAAAGTCTATGACCCAAAATTGACCCAACAAGAAATTGGGATGGACCCGTGAGAATTGGTAGTCCCAATTAATGGGTTAAACCTCGAGAGAGTAATTACCCCACTTGAACCCTAGTTGCTTGGTCAAATTGGCTTACCCAATTGGTCTCGAGAGAGTCAATTGGGCAAAATCACTCTCTCTACCGAGAGGTGTGAGAGTGGGTATAATTGAGCAACGGTTATAGCATAAGCCCCAAATAAGTCAATTTACCTTTAGTAGCATCTACCCGTTAGTTAGCCACCTAGGTAATGGCACGACCCTAGTGCTCTTCTCTATATACAACTTAGCACTATCTCCATAGCATAATTTAGCTTCAAATATTAGTCTTAAAGTAGAAGATATAAAAACCAAAACCGAAAATGTTAGAAGTGATATTAGAAGCACAATTACAATTCTAAACTAAGCAGATAATACAACTCCCTCTCTAGCTCCTAGTAGAAAATCGATCCCGATCCACTATCGGGTAAAAGCTGTTGCAACTCGCTCTTCCTACTTTAGTGTAGTGTTGAGTCGGCAGCGATCAGTAGAGGTGCTAGAGGTGGAGGTAGAGGTATTAGAGGTGGAGGTCAGGCCGCTAGAGGTGGAGGCCAGCCAGCAGGAGGCCGCCCCAAGGACGTAGCTCAGAGTGGTGGGGCCCAGCCCCAATGTTATGCTCTTCCAGCCAGGCCCGAGGCTGAGGCCTCAGATGCAGTTATTACAGGTACCGTTATGGTCTGTAGTAGAGAAACTTCAGTTCTATTTGATCCAGGGTCTACATACTCCTATGTGTCATCTTATTTTGCCTCGTATCTGGTCACGCCTAGTGATTCTTTGAGTGCACCTGTATATGTGTCTACACCGGTGGGTGATTCTATTATGGTGGATCGTGTCCATCGTTCATGCATAGTTGTGATTGGGGGTTTTGAGACCCGAGTAGATCTGTTACTTTTGGATATGGTCAATTTTGATGTCATATTGGGGATGGAGTAGTTATCACCTTACCATGTTATCTTGGACTGTCATGCCAAGACTGTGACCTTAGCTTTGCTGGGTCTACCTCGTTTAGAGTGGAGAGGGACTCCTAGTTATTCCACCCGTAGGGTTATCTCATATATGAAGGCTCGGCGTATGGTTGAGAAGGGATGTTTGGCCTATTTGGCGTACGTTCGTGATTCTAGTACCGAGGTTCCTTTTATGGATTCTGTGCCTATTGTTTGTGAGTTTCCAGAGGTATTTCCTGCAGACCTGCCGGGCATGCCGCTCGACAGGGATATTGACTTTTGCATTGATTTGGCTCCGGGCACTCAGCCCATTTCTATTCCGCCGTATCGTATGGCCCCGCCAGAGTTGAAAGAATTGAAAAAACAGTTGCAAGACTTGCTTGATAAGGGCTTCATTAGACCTAGTGTCTCACCTTGGGATGCGCCGGTGTTGTTTGTTAAGAAGAAGGACGGATCGATGAGGATGTGTATAGATTATCGGCAGTTGAACAAGGTCACAATCAAGAATAAGTATCCATTGCCGAGGATTGATGATTTGTTTGATCAGCTTCAGGGTGCCAAGGTGTTTTCGAAGATTGATTTGAGATCTGGCTACCATAAGTTGAGGATTAGGGCGTCTGATGTCCCTAAGACAGCTTTTCGCACTCGATACGGGCATTATGAGTTCTTAGTGATGTCATTTGGGTTGACAAATGCCCCAGCAACTTTCATGGACTTGATGAACCGAGTGTTCAAGCCTTATTTGGATTCCTTCGTGATTGTCTTCATTGATGACATTTTGATCTATTCCCGCAGCCGGGAGGAGCACGAGCAGCATCTTCGAGTTGTTCTTCAGACTCTGAGGGATAGTCAGCTGTATGCCAAGTTTTCAAAGTGTGAGTTTTGGTTGAGTTCGGTTGCATTCTTGGGTCATGTTGTATCAGCAGAGGGTATTCAGGTGGATCCTAAGAAGATCGCGACAGTCAAAGACTGGCCTAGACCCACATCAGCTATAAAGATCTGGAGTTTCTTGGGTTTGGCGGGTTATTACCGTCGGTTTGTGGAGGGGTTTTCATCTATTGCAGCCCCGATGACCAGGTTGACCTAGAAGGTTGCCCAGTTCAGGTGGTCGGATGAGTGTGGGGCGAGCTTTTAGAAGCTCAAGACAGCTTTGACTACGGCGCCGGTGTTGGTTTTGCCCACAGTTTCAGGGCCATATACAGTATATTGTGATGCATCGTGTATTAGACTTGGTGCGGTGTTGATGTAGAATGGCAAGGTTATTGCATATGCTTCGCGACAGTTGAAGATCTACAAGAAGAATTATTTAGTTCATGATTTGGAGTTAGCAACCATTGTTCACGCGCTGAAGATTTGGAGGCATTATTTGTATGGCGTGTCATATGAGGTGTTCACGGATCACAAGAGTTTGCAGTACCTGTTCAAGCAGAAGGAGCTAAATTTGAGGCAGAGAAGGTGGTTGGAGCTGTTGAAGGACTATGATATCACCATCTTGTATCATCCGGGAAAGGTCAATGTGGTGGCCGATGCATTGAGTAGGAAGTCAGCCAGTATGGGCAGCCTTGCGTATATTCCAGTCGGTGAGAGACCGCTTGCTTTGGATGTTCAGGCTTTGGCCAATCAGTTCGTGAGGTTGGATGTTTCTGAGCCCAACCGTGTTCTAGCTTGCACAGTCGCTCGTTCTTCATTATTTGAGCGTATCCGAGATCGACAGTATGATGATCCTCATTTGCTTGTCCTTAGAGAACACTGCGGCACGGAGGTGTCAAGCAGGTTACAGTTGGAGATGATGGAGTTCTGAGGATGCAGGGTTGTATTTGGGTGCCTAATGTTGATGGACTTCGCGAGTTGATTCTAGAGGAGGCCCATACTTCCCGGTATTCTATTCATCTGGGCGCCACTAAGATGTATCAGGATTTGCAGCAGCATTATTGGTGGAGAAGGATGAAGAAGGACATTGTTGCCTATGTAGCTCGGTGTTTGAATTGTCAGCAGGTAAAGTACGAGCATCAGAGACCTGGTGGTTTGTTTCAGAAGATTGAGATTCCTGAGTGGAAGTGGGAGCGGATCACTATGGACTTCGTTGTTGGACTCCCACGGACTCAGAGGAAGTTCGATGCCGTATGGGTTATTGTTGATAGGCTGACCAAGTCAACACATTTCATTCTTGTGGCAGTTTCTTATTTTTCTGAGAGGTTAGCTGAGATCTATATCCGGGAGATTGTTCGTCTTCATGGTGTGCCCGTGTCTATCATTTCTGACCGAGGTACGCAGTTTACCTCACATTTCTGGAGGGTAATTCAGCGTGAGTTGGGCACACGGGTCGAGTTGAGCACAACATTTCATCCCCAGACCCAGACGGATGGACAGTCCGAGCGTAGTATTCAGATTTTGGAGGATATACTCCGAGCTTGTGTTATGGACTTTGGAGGTTCGTGGGATCAGTTCTTGCCTTTAGCAGAGTTTGCCTACAACAACAGCTACCAGTCAAGCATCCAGATGGCTCCCTATTAGGCTTTATATGGTAGACGGTATTGGTCGCCGGTTGGATGGTTTAGCCGGGAGAGGCTCGGTTATTGGGTACGGATCTAGTACAGGATGCCTTGGACAAGGTGAAGACCATTCAGGATAGGCTTCGTACAGCTCAGTCCAGGCAGAAGAGTTATGCCGACCGCAAGGTTCGTGATGTGGCATATATGGTCGGGGAGCGGGTGTTGCTCCGGGTGTCGCCCATGAAGGGCGTGATGAGATTTGGGAAGAAGGGAAAGCTAAGCCCTAGGTTCATTGGTCCTTTTGAGATTCTTGATTGAGTGGGAGATGTGGCTTACAGACTTGCGTTGCCGCCGAGTTTATCAGTTGTGCACCCAGTGTTTCATGTGTCCATGCTTCAGAAGTATCGTGCGATCCATCCCATGTGTTAGAATTCAGCACTGTCCAGTTGGACAAGGATCTGACCTATGAGGAAGAACCGGTAGTTATTCTAGACCGGCAGGTTCGTCAGTTGAGATCGAAGAACTTCCCTTCAGTTCGTGTTCAGTGGAGAGGTCAGCCTGCCGGGGCAGCTACCTGGGAGTCCGAGTCCGATATGCGGAGCCATTATCCCCATCTTTTCCCCGACTCAGGTACTTCTTTTCTATGTCCGTTCGAGGAAGAACGGTTGTTTTAGAGGTGGAGGATGTGATGATCCAAAAGGTCATCACTTGAATTACAAGTAAATTCTGTGTTCCGAGGCCTTAAAAGCCTCCTTTTATCTCACCTCGATTTGTGTGTGTGGTCCGGGCGTATATCCGGAACGTTTTTATGTGAAAATTTGATGAAAATGCTAAATTGGCCTTTAGAATTGAATTTAAGTTGACTTCGGTCAATATTTTGGGTAAACGGATCCGGACCCATAATTTGACCGTCCCGAAGGGTCCGTAGAAAAATATGAGACTTGTGTATGCCCGGAATTGAATTTCGAGGTCCCAAGCCCGAGAAATGAATTTTTGAAGAAAATTGTTTAACTGAAATTTTAAGAGTTTTTGGAAATTTAAATGTATTTGAAATTGATGGTATCGGGCCTGTATTTTGATTCCGGATCCCGGTACAGGTCTTATATGGTAGTTAGGTTGAGCCTGTAAAATTTGGTAAGAAACGGACTTGATATGACGTGAATCGGACCCTCGGTTGTTAAAAATTTGAACTTAAGAGTTCTTGAGATTCTTCTTTGATTTTGATGCTAAATTCGTTGTTAAAGGTGTTAATTTGGCGATTTGATCGCACGAGTAAGTCCATATGATGTTTTGGAGTTAGTATGCATGTTTGGTTTGGATCCCCGAGGGCTCGGGTGAGTTTCGGATAGGTTTCGGGAGGTTTTTACACTTAGAAAAGTTGCAGGTGTTGCTGCTTCAGGTGCACACACATTTTGTGCATCGCGATCGCGTAGTAACTCTCGCGATCGCGAAAGGGAAATTGAGACTGGGGTGGATTTGTTCTTCGCGAACGCGAAGCCACAGTCGCGAACGCGGAGCACTGGGAGGTTGCTCATCGCGAACGCGACCAGTGTCACGCGAACGCGTAGTGTAAAATGGAGGTGGGCTGGGGATTTGTCATTTCTTCTACGCGAACACGTACGCCGGTCCGCGAACGCGAGGGTCAGGGAGGCTTACCCTTCGCGAACGCGTAGGAGAACTCGCGATCGCGTAAGTCCACTTCTAGCAGCTCTTCGCAATCGCGACAGTGTTCTCGCGAACGCGATGAACACTTTCGCCCGGCACTTAAAACAGTAGCAAAGTCGGGATTTAGCCCACATTTTCATATTTTCAAAACTAGAGAGCATTGAGGCGATTTTCAAGGAACAAGTTCTTCCCCAAAGTATTGGTATATGATTCTAAACCTTTTTCTTTCGATTTTCCATTGCATTTCATCAATCTTCATCAAAAAATCTAGGGTTTTTATGGTAGAAATTGGGAATTTGGGTAGAATTAGGGATTTTTGAATAATTGGAATTTAGACCTCGTTCTGGGGTCAAATTTTGAAACTAATTGCATATTTGGGTTCGTGGGTGAATGGGTGATTGGGTTTTGGTCCGAACCTCGAGTTTTGACCAAGCGGGCGCCGGGGTCGATTTTTGACTTTTTGGGAAAAATGATAGAAAACCTATAATTAAGCATTGGGTATGAATTCTTTGGCATTTATTGATGTTGTTAAATTAATTTGGACTAGACACAAGTAATTTGGAGGCGAATTCTAAAGGAAAAGCGGTGTTTGAGGCTTGAGTTGGCTGTGAAAGTTCGAAGTAAGTATTTGGTCTAACCTTAGCTTGAGGGAATAGGTATTGTGCTTTAGTTGCTATGTGCTAGTGTAGTGTACGACGTATAGGTGTGGTGACGACTATCTATACGTCGTTGTCAAGCATGGCCGTGAGTCTTGAATTGTAATCGTTGTGTTTCTTAATAAGTACTACGGATGCCTAAGTTGTTGATTTTCCGTGTTGGGCAAGAATTATGATTATTCTCGTGGTAATTGTTCATTGTTGGGTATTGGTTCCAGTTGAGATTTCATATGTGAAGTTAAATGTTGGTACAAGATTGGTTTTAGCTGATTCTCTTGCCGGAACGTATTTAATTCTTACTGTTGGTTCCCTTGCCGGGATGTGTTTATTCTCATGGTTGATTCCCTTGTCGGGATATTGTTGTTTCCTTATTGTTCCTTTGCCGGGATTCTTTTGTGATTAGTGTTGATATGTATATTTGGATCGGGTTGCACGCCGCAATAATATTATATGGGATCGGGTTGCACGCCGCAACATGGAGTAATAAGGGAGAACAGGAGGGGTTGGGTTGCACGCCGCAACATTGATACATGATTTGGATCGGGTTGCACGCCGCAACAGTGTTATATGAATTGGATCGGGTTGTGCGCCGCAACAATAATGAATAAAAGTGGATATTGATCCGTTACTGTTTCCTTATTCTTACTGATGCGCACTTTAAGATGTTCTTTATGCTTTTCTCCTAAGTTACTGTTGGTACTTAATATTCCCCGCAACATGTTTTCCCTTCCCATCTTCAACTGCTAGTTTCCGTTATTATTGCTTGCCGTACATGCTTTAACTGCATAGGTTTATATGTTAGTCTCGTCCTAGCCTCGTCACTACTTCGACGAGGTTAGGCTCGACACTTACCAGCACATGGGGTCGATTGTGCTGATACTACACTCTGCACTGTGTGCAGATCTCGGTACCGGAGCTTTTGGACCTTAGAGTGGTTGCTGCCTTCAGTCCAGCGGAGGCCCGGGGTAGTCCTGCAGACGTCCGCAGGCCTTGGCGTCCCCTCCTATCCTTTATATTCTGTTTTCATTTACTTTAGAGACAGATTGTATCTTTCTTTCCAGACAACTGTTTGTAGTATTCGTAGACGGTCCGTGATATTGTGACACCAGTTCTGGGTAGAGATGTAATTTGAATGTTTTGTACTAGTATTTGGCTAAGTTATCAGATTTCGTCTTTCGCATTTCTTTTATTATTATTTTTATTCCGCTGTCGATTCCATGTTAATTTGAAATTGTTAAAAGGTTAAGAAAAAGGATAATAAAATCTATAACGCTTGGCTTGCCTAGCTTTCACGAGTGGGCGCCATCACGACTCTCGAGGGTGAGAAGTTCGGATCGTGATATTTTTATAGAATCCTAATTAGATTTCATACTTATTCCGGTGCATTACAACCGTTAGCCAAATATAAAAAAAGTACATAAGGCAATAATTATGTATAAAATATGTATGTAAATATATATTATACATTAATTTTTATAAAAAAAAAGGGCAGCCCAGTGCACTAAGCTCCCGCTATGCGCGAGGTCTGGGAAAGGACTGGACTACCATATATATATATAT